GGATTCAGCATGAAGATCGACGATCAGAATCGGAACCCGCTGGTCCAACAGCTGGCACAGATGACCTACGGGGGAGGCCGGTAGCCACGGTGAGCCCTGCTGATGCACCCCATGAGGCCCCCCCTAATGCTCCCAACTTCTCCAAGCACCCTACCTTAGTCCTCCTTAACCCCAGCAATCACTGCTACATCAATGCCACGATGCACTGCCTTGCTCTGATTGAACAATGTGCTTGTGAGAGGGTCCTGCCAACAGCCTTCAAAAGCCACGACAACAGGCCGTTGAGTGCTCTGCGAGCACTGGGGATCAGCCTCTGGGGGTGGCAGAGGCCACACGCTCAGCATGACATTGTGGAGTTCATTAGTCACCTGTTGCCTCGACTGTGTCACTTGCAATCGCACCGACACTGGGCAGCTCGCGCGGTAGTGGCAGGTAGGGTTCAACACACTGACGGTGCACAGCTGTCGAGATGTCTGCAGCTCAGTCACGAGCCTATCCATGATCCTGATGTGCAACGCCTCATTCGCAGGTGGCACGAGCAGGCTGAAAGCCATGCGCTCGAAAGTCTGGCTCCCTGGATTTTGCTGCAGCTGCCTCGGGGTGGTATCAATGATAGTGGGGTCGTCTTTAAGTCACATAACCCCATTCTCATCCCCCAGGTTCTGTATCTGCCTATGTTCCGAGACGCGGATACCTTCGACACCAAGTGGCAACCTTACGTGGTGATAGCATGTGTCCTGCACCATGGCGAAACTCTCACCGAAGGCCATTACAACGTTCTGAGCCTCCTAGGGCAGACTCCGCATGTTCTGGAAGACGGGAAAAATGCCGAACCGGCATCGGATGCACTCCTCGAGAGCGCCTCTTGCAGTGCATACGTTCTTGTCTTGATAGCCGTAACATCGGATAATGCGCAGCTCATCACTTCTCAAATCCGGAATCGATACCATGGAGGAGTCGACATGCAATTTCATGCTGCGGAAGTATGGGGACAACTGGACAGCTGCCCATCTGAGCCTCCTCGAGATGCACATCAAAGACTTGGAAGCTCAAATGATGAACATGCAACGCTACGTTGACTCCTTGCACATGCAGTTGCACGCTCTGCAATTGTTGGTGCAGCGACACTCCTATCTCTATGATTCGAGACTCGTCAACAAGTCTCGACTGGAGAAGATACGATTCCTGGATGAGTTGGACGATTAATTTTGTAGTGTGCGAGCCACACAAGGCGTCACGACGCTGTTCCCGCCCATAGGGCACTCGTGCCAAGCTGTCAACTGAACAGCCGGTGCATGCATAAGGCGTGTACTGAAGGCGCTCGCTAGCAGGAACGAGAACCTCTTGCTGCGGTGGAAGAAGGTCAGGTTAATGTTCATGTCATTGCCTTTGGCGATCATGCCCAAAACATTGGTATTTGCAGCATCTTTTGCTCTTTGTACCACATGCTGCACAAGGATGTGGGGCAAGACACGTTGTCACAAGCATCCTACTACTGCTACTGCGACCGGCGCTACTGCGTTACTGCTTGCGGTCAACCATGTCGTTATTAGGCCCCCCCACCAGCAAAACGCCAAAAAACGCAGAAAAACAGAGGTTAACACCAGGCGCCTGGAGGCGCATAGTTACTACTACTACTACTACTACGACGACGACGACTACAACTACTAAGTAAAGCACAGGAGCATGATGAAAAGGCACACCAACAACAACCAACAGGAAGCTACCACCAAGTAAGCGCGAACCGCCAAACATGGAAACCAGCAACTGCATGAGACACTGGACACGGACAGTAGCCAGGCTTGTCTCTCTGCACAGTCCTGCGTAACGCATGTGTTCTGCCCAACTACCCTGCGATGATGCTGTGCGAGCATGCACAACCTGTTTCCGTTTTGGGATCTGCTTCCAAGGAGTGTCTATTACTTGAAAAAGGTCGAGAAAAGCATTCTGACCGTCGTTGCCTCATCGTGTGTGTCTCGATGTGCGCCATGAATTTCCGCGGCTTTCCAGGTGGAGGTCCGAAGCAGGGTCAAGCAAGAACCCATGCCGGAAGCACGGAATGCGAAGAGATGCGGTGACGAAAGACGCCGAAACCCGTAACTAAGGCCCCTTCTTCGCTTCTTGCACAAGGCCCAAGCGCTCAAGCCCATTTCCGACTGAGTGTCCCTTTGAGTAGAACCTGCAAAAGTGGTCACTTGTGTGGGGTAGGCTGTCTATGTGGCTGACGAAGACGACGTGGAGCGCGTCATGACTTTACCCGACTGGGAAAAAGCGGCTTTCTCTGCTCCTCCAGAGCTAACGGTGCGGGGTCGGCCACCGCGAGGGGAGCTCTTCGGCAGGGAACAGATCATCTTTGTTCACGGCATCGTTCTAGGTGCCATGGGCTTACCATCAGCTGACGAGAACAGCCTTTCAGATCCGTACTGTGTCGTGGAGGCTCTGTCCCGTGGAGCCGAGAGGCTTTTTGTGCACCGAACTCGCGTGATTCCCAAGACACTTTGTCCTGAATGGGGGGAGGCCTTCTACTTCCCTTGCCCGAAGGACTTTGAGCTGAACCGGCTAATGTTCAGTATCTTCGACCGCGATGAGACGATGATCGCTATGATCGGGGCTGGCATTGATCCGCTTGACCAGGATGAGTTTCTGGGGCGTGCAAGCATCGATATTTCGTATTTGCGGAACGGCGACATGTTGATGGAAGAACTTCCGGTATCCGGCTCAGTCATCGGTGCGAAGGTCAAGACAACAGCAGGGTTTCGTCGAGTACCGACCATTTCTATTGAAGTCGGCATCCAGCGTCGCATCAAGCCCATGTATGGGGTGGCACCCGAAGACCACTCGGCCGTGATCCCGCGCCGAACCCATCGAGTCAGCCGGCAGCCTGGGAACTTTGGCTTCTCTGACACGTCCCAGTTTGTGGATGAGATCACAGAGGCGGAGCGCACAGCCACGGAGGTCATGGAGGCCAACAATACGGGTCGGCTCTTGAAGAGCTCACACCTGGGCATGCCGCCCAATTGGATCTCCTTGCCCGAAGCCGTCGACACCTGGGAGCTGCCTCCTCCTGAGGAGCCCGTCCCAGACTTGGAGGCAGAGATGAGGAAACATGCAGAAAGGGCGGCACGTGCCCAGCAGATCCCCGAAGGGTTCGACTTCACGCAGGAGCCCCCGCCAACGGCCGCGAGGAGTTTGCCGATGCTCCATTCGAGGTTCGCCCAGCCAAAAGCACTCTTCCGGCGCTTAGCCAAGGAGCGAAAGGCAGGCAAGGATGGAAGCAGTGCCATCCAGCAAGGTTTTAATGCGAGATCCAAGCTGAATATTGTGCAAAGTCTGAAGGGCTTGTGGTACAAACCTACACCAGAAACGCTGGTGCATCGGCGCCTCGAGGAGAACGGCGGCTTGGCAACATACAACAGATTCGTAGTTTGCGTAGGCCGTGATGCGCTGTGCAATCAGGCGCCAGAAGCAGGGACCTGTGTGATAATATCTACTGCGCCCAGGTGACGACAACAGCTCTGCAGGAAGCCCCACATCGCACGACTGGGTGCTGCACTAGTTTGACAGTGTTTGCCTTGTGCATCTCGAAATAGGTTTTATCATTCCTCTTCTCAAGGGATTGGATTGTTCGGTTCCCGCATGCTCTCAAAGAGAGGTGCCTGAGCAGGTAGAGTAGGTCAGGTTGGCTTGACAGAGTCAGCTTGAATGCCTTTGCAAGCAAAGAATTTATTCCTCGGGTGCCACAAGGCCCATGCATGTTTGCCTCAAGAGGCTGCTGTAAATGCCCGGCCCTCCAGGAATCGGGGGAGAAAACAAAGCGCAGTTCTTGAGACGTCGAAACCCACCCATCCACCCCATGAGCTTAAGGAGGCCTGCTTTACCGGGAGGCTTGTGGTTTGCCCGAGCCTGGGTAGCAGTCTTCAGAGTTGCGAGTCGAGAGGCTCAGGGAAGCTGGTCGCCATGATCTTCGGAGTTCGATTGTGGTGTATCCATTGTCGTAGCAGCAGCTGTGTAGATGTTTGTCCGCAAATGCCGTGGGTACTCCATCTGCGAGCCTCTCGTTCTCCAGCTAACAGCAGATGCTGTCCAATCCACAAGCTGTTCTGAGGTAGCTTGCCAGGTGTCCTTACAGCTTCACACATGACAGTCCATCTAGGCGAGAACCGGCATGAACTTGGATGAACTTGCTGGACCCCTGGCCAGATATGCAGGGTCGCGGCCGACGCCCTGCGCCCAAGGATCAAAGATGCAGTATGCCGACCCGGGGTTTTGGGATTCTTGGCAAGGAAGTCGGCTTTGAGGGAGGTGTTCCAATTGACAGTGTTCATATGCCTGGCATACTTCAAGTCGCTTGCAGCCCTAAGGATACTCGGTTCAAAGATGCCGAAGGCCTTTTCGATTGGTATGCTACGTATGAAGAGCTGAGAGATGCCTTCGAGCAGTTCTGCCCTGCAAGTGCCGTTCGTGATCAAGGACTCCTGGTTGTGGGTTGCGGGAATTCATCTTTGTCCTCAGACCTTCATGCTGCTGGCTATGCCAACATCACGAATATCGATGTGTCTGCTCCTGCTGTGGAGAAAATGCAGGGGCAGTTTGCAGAGCTGCCAATGCAGTGGATGGTAATGGACGCAACATCCATGAGCTTTCCGTCCAACTCCTTCGGAGTCAGTGTCGACAAAGGTACGCTGGACGCGATGATGAGCTCTTATGCAGATGATCTTGCTGGAGCCATGAGCGGGGAGGTGTGGCGGGTGTTGCAGCCCGGGGGCATTTTCATACTGGTGTCACACAGCGGCAAGCGACTGCCGATCCTCCGGTCCGGACTCGGGGAAGGCGCCACTTGGCGTTGCTTGGAGCTCCGGCGCTGCCGCCTCTCCCCACAGGCCACGCTCATCAACGTACTGCGGTCCAAGCTGCCCCCGTCGGGGAAGCTGGTTGATGCGTTTCGGGACCCCCAGCTTCTACAGCAAGCGAGCTCCGAAGCAAAAGCTGCCCTAAAACGTATGGCCTTCATTGATGCCTTCCGGCTCTTCAAAGCAAGGACCGGGCAAGCTTCCCTGAATTCGTGAGTTCCACTACGCCGCGAGGAAGAGAGCGCAGGCGGGGCTCGAAGAGGGTCGTGATGACGAGGATCCACAGGAGTGCTCAGTGCGCCGTTTTGCCTTCTTCATTTCCGTGTGAAAGTGGGGGGGACATTTCATGGAGGAGCTTCCGGGGGAGGAGGACTTGGCGGCCGGGGCTGCCGGAGAGGGCCACGACCCTCGCCTGCAGCCCTTCTGCTGCTCGGCCTTGGCTTCTTCCGTATGAGTAGCCCCCCCGTTGAGCTGTAAGAGGCTCGTGGCTCCCAGCCGCTTTTGCATGTGCCCGAGGCTGGATTTACGTGTTGCGGAAGGTCGCGATCTAGTCGAGCTCACTCAAAAAGTATCCCGCGGACAGAGCATATGTTTGCCAGTGCTAAAACGTGCAGCTTTGCCAGTGCTCCTGTGCAGTCCTGGCTCAGAAAATTTTGTGGGCTGCTGCCCGTATTCCCGGTGCACGATGCACCTGGATGTCCAGTGTGAAGAGGCGCAGGCGCAAGGGCCCGGAGAGCGAGCAAGGAGTGACGGACTTTCCTGGTCCCTGTGAGAGGTATTCGCCGCAGGAGCTCCTCGGCTTGCCGATCGAAGAAGCCCTCCAGGCGCAGGATGCGGGCGTTTCTCCTTTCTGCTCTTTTGCACCATTCCCCAATTCGAGGCGGCTGCGTCGGGGCTCTTTGATCCTCTGGAGACCACCCGTGCTACGGCCTGCGAGACATTGACCGAGCTCCTCAGGCGACTCTGCCGCTGGCGCTTGGGTTGTGAGTTGTCAGGGTCATGTCCTGCTTTGTCCGGCACTGCACCAGGCATGCGGGGCCGGATGCGGAGCTTGGAACAGTGGGACAGGACAGGACGCGGGACGCGGGACACGGCCGTCTCGCTTTTGCATCTGAGCAGCGAAAGCAGAGAAATTGATGGGAGGATGTGCTGCGGCACCTCCTGGCACAAGTCGCTTCCATTTCCGGCGAGGTGCGCCTTGCCGCTATGGAGGCGCTGCAGCACTTCCCGCGCTGGGATACAGAGGCCAGCACCCCACAGCTCATGCCTGGGCGCTTGGGAAACTGACGGGGATTGAAGGTGTTGAACAAGGCCGTTCTGCCCTCAGCTTTTGGCCGCAGCTTGGTCTGGCGTCTCTATGAGATTTGAGCTCCAAGAGGTGAAGCTGCCAATATTTCGGAAGGTTCCAAGTTTGGAGGAGGTTCTTTGCAGCCTCGGCCTTGGCAGCCAGTTTTGCCATTGATTCTTCTGCAGGAGAGAGCCTCTGGATCGGGCGACAAGAGCTCCCAAACGGATGAGATCTGGCCGCTCGGCTTATGGACTTAGGCTGTGCCATGTGCACTTCATTGCCCTTGCACGGCCGCGGTGTCCTGCATGCAGCCACAGGCACGGAGCGCTCTTCTTTGCGCTTGATGACGAAGAGCCGATGATCCGCACGCGAGCGCTCCACATCATTCGAGTTGCCTTCCGTCTGAAAGAAGTAGAAGGAGTGGTAGCTGGTCGTCGCCTTCGCCGTAGACATAGGCCGTCGCCGCCTTGCAAGTTGCCGCGTCGTTCCTGCGCCCTGCGCCCTGAGGAGATGTGTCAACGACGAGCCTCGGAAGAGGCAGAAGCTTCCGATGAACTCCGCTCCACTTTCGGTCTGCATCCGGGTTTCTGCGGAGATCACGGGAGGGAGTTGGGCCAAGGATTCTGTTAAGCTGTCGGAGTTGTCAGAATGGCTTGTGCCGGTCAGGAGACGGCAGGGAGTGGTCAGAGTGGTTTTGAGCAATTGGTCGGGTGGGACTACGTGCGCTTGCATGTCCTGTCGCTGAACAAAGACGGCGGAGTGATTTCTGTTTCTAGCGAAGTGGACACCATGCCTCCAGGCACGGCTGCCCAGGAGAAAGACATGCGGAGGGGCTTTGTTGAGAACTCCGCTTGGGAAAGTACGTCGGAAGTGTCTATAGAGAACACGGGCTGTGCCCGAGATGTCCATGCTGCGTCGTGCAGGTGGCAGTGTTGCATTGTGATGGCAGCACTGCGCCTTGTGTTTGTCTTGTTTTCAGTGATTCTCTTGCATTCAAACGTAAATATAGCAGATCCAAGCGTGGTCGTCCATGGTCCACCGTGAAGCTTTGACGCACCAAGGTATGTCAAGCTATCGTTGGTACACCGCACGCTCTGACAAGCTTTCCGTTATTGAAGGTCGTCCGCTGTGAAGCCGTGAAGTCTCCCGCCGAGTGGGTGGGCAGGCCGGGCCGGGGCGTGGGAGGGCGGGCGGGGGGTGGGGGCGGGCACGGTTTTCATTTTTAATGATTTTTTTCACGTTCACTGTCCACCAAAAGCTATCCTCGGCACCAGGTAGACAACCTGTGCCCACAAAAGATGTTGGTTTTGCGGCTTCGTGCTCTCTACCATTTTGTCTGGAAACTGAGAAGTCTAAGATCAGCAACCTCGCGGCAACGATGTATATGTTGTTTTTTTAATCCGCAAGTGTTCGTCGCGACCTCCTCTCGCTGGGCGGGCCTCACCGAGGACATTCCCGAGGCGGCTTGTCGTCTTCAGTCGTGCCTCCCTCCTCGTAACTCCATCATCGTGTATCTTGCATTTATGACCCGGGGACTGGAGCACTTTCAGCGACAATTACACGAGGGCTTTCTGTCTCTTGACAACCATGTGACGACTAACAACCTATCAGACCTTGCAAGCATTGCACTGACCACTGACAAGCCGATCTGAGCGCCCAAACAAGAAGAATTTGCACGACTCCCTCCCGCTCACTCCTCCCAGCTGAGCTCAGCTATAATATGTTCTCGTATGGGTAGCGAACTCATGCACGTGGATCTAGAACAAGTGGCACTCCCTGGTGGGTTGTGATAGACCCACACATGACTTAGTGACTCGGTGCATCTCGGTGCTTTGGGGTGACTTTCTGCAGACGTCGCCTTGTCATGCAGGTGCCAGAATTTAAAGGCTTCTTTCAGCGCCTCGCGGCTGTCGCGGCGCTGTGCCTGCAAGACGCCAGCGTCGGGCACTTACTGGTTGAGGTTGTTTCAGCGGTGTTGCCGGGCCATCGGTCCGTCAGGACATGGTGCGTCAAGAGGCCACTGTCGAGTTCTCAGCCTGAAGACGGCGACGTCTCTGCAGCAGCCACCTTACGATTCCGTTCTCCTTTAGAATGCATGTGCTGCCTAAGGCCCTCCTGATGGAGATCATGTCAGTGAGATCGGTGGGCCTAGCAAGGCAACTAGTCGACAAGGCACAGCCACGCGATGCATCCCGTGCGCCGTTACCGTTATTACTCGATGGAGGCCAGCGCCCCGCTTTTGACGCATGTTCTGCAAGCCTTTCCACGGGATCCAGGAGCAGCGGGTTGGTTGCAATCCATTCTGGCTGGTAGGAGGGCCTTGGGTGTTGGCCACTCGCGGCCGGTCACTGAGGTATTGGGTGTCTTGGAGAAGGCCCGCTTCGCTGACCTCCACGCGCTCTACGACGCGGTCCTTTGGATTTTGAATGTGGAGCTACCGCAGGCCCGCGGAGAGTACACATGCCGCTCGGCGTGCTTCACTCCCCTACCTGCCGCCCAGGGGCTGGACTCTCTTGACTTGGAGCCCGTGGCCTTTCGCTTGGCCGAGGAGCTGGAGCGGCTGGAGGCGTCGCAGCGGGTGGCGGAGCCGACGCATGACGTACAGTGCTTGGTTTTGTTCTTCTGCAGGCCATGCCGGAGGTGTACAAAAAGGCCAAGAAGACCCTGATGATGGATTCCGCCGCCCAGCCCGGTGTCAGGCGGGGAATTTGCTAGCTGTTTAAAGGCAACCGAGTGATAGAATAGCGAGTAGCGTGGTTTGGTGAGACTCCCGTACTCGGGCTACAAACTGAAAAGCCTCGGGCAAAAGGGCAGTGCAACGAGATCGAATTACGAAGAGGTCAGGTGAAGAAGTCCGGAGTTGCACGGCATGTATCCTGAGCTCTCGCAAGCTGGGGCTTTGGGATTGGAACCCAGCGCCACCAAAGGGCGGGGGACGTTGCAGACAGTGTTTGGGACGATGAATTGTCTTTTGCAGGGTAGCTCCACCGGCAAAGCAACAGCCTGCTATTCTGGGGAGCGCTACAGTGCAGCAACGACTACGACTACGATTCCCTGTGCGTGCCTTTGTCCATGCAACGTGTGCACCCATTCTGCTCGTACAGTACATCCAAGAGAATGCAAGAAGGTTGGGACGAAGGCGAGAACAATTCAACATGCTATTCGCCAAACCAGCCCATCATGATTCATGCGCATATCGGCGCAGTTGGGGTGTAGAACTGGAGAGCACGTATGTGCGCAGTGGCAACCGCTCTTATGTGGCGGAGCGCCAGTGGGCTGCTTGCCAACGGCATGGCAGAGCTCAATACCGCACAACGGTACATGTCTTATCGTGCCAATTGGCGACGAGAGTTAGAGAAGTGCGGCGCTTTGAGTGGGTTCTGCGGCTGAGAGTGTACATTGACATGACCGTATGTCGGCTTCTTCGACACAAACACATTCGCCGGTTGCAGCGGCGCGTTCGGTTCCGCAGCGCTCCAGGGTTGTCGATGCGAGGCGAGGCAACTTGAACTGCGTTTTTGATGGATTGTCATGCCTCAGCTCAGTGTGCGTAAGCAGGCTGAAGCAGAAGCAGCACACAAACTGCTTCACTAATGGCGTGAGGACATCTCGTTGTGAAGTTTTCTTCATCTCCATCGTTCTGGCAAGCATGCCATGAATCACACGGATCACACTGTGAACCCCGACATGCTTCGTAAACACTGTGCGGAGGCTCCTTACGTCAACTGTGCTCCATGGCTCAGACCCAATTGCGCCTGCAGGCGGATATCACTTTAGAGGTAAAGCGAGCTGATGGACTGCTGCTCGTCAGGCATTGCAGTGGGCCTCTCCCAGGGGAGGGGATCCACTCAGATGGAAAGGTGGCATCCTCGTGTCCGAGTCCGTGTCCTACATGCTTGAGAGTGTTGGATGCTTTTGAGGTTGCGGGTGCTGGTGGATCAGGTTTCGCTGAGGCGCCGAAACACGTGTCGCATTGACATGCATCGACTGTGTCGGTTTCTTTCCCGGGGTCTTTCAGGAGCCCCGGAGCTTCCGAACACCTGCGGGGCGACGAGGCGCTTCCGCCGAGGCGAAGGGAACCCGGGGCCGGGTTGGGCTGAAAAGTTGCCCTGCGCCAGAGGATCTCGGAATCGCCGAGTGAATCAACGCCCGGACCCCAAACTTCGAGCTGCCTTCGCCGGAAACTGGTTGTTTTGACTGGCAATGCGCGGCAACTCCACGGAAGGGAAAGGGGTGGTCAACCAGGGATTGGAGACAACGAGATTGCGGAAGCGTTTGGCACTGTTGCGAAGCGAACTCGGGATCTTCCAAAAGGGCCCGCACTTGCCTTGGCCCGCCTTGTCACCTCATGCTACAGCTAGTCCTCTGGACCCGAATGACCCGACTCCTCCAGGTTGACTTACTGGATCCAGTCGCTGGAGTGGCACTGGGACGTTGTTGCCACCGGGCTGGCAGAGGCGAGCTCACGGAAGCACCGAAACCCGATCATATCCGATCCCCGCGAGCATGCGACATGAATGTGCTAATCTCTCCGGAGGCACCGCACTCCGACCGACTGCGTGTGGCCGCTTCGCGGATGAGTGCTGGCCTGAGACATCCTGCTGCTGACCGGCAGCTAGAGAAGGACAGGATTCGAGACAAGTGTGGTGTGCAGGGCTACAACTGTTTTAAAGCCCAGAGGTCAGCTGCACCAGCACTTGTCGCTTGCCGCTGCTGAGGTCGGGATCTTAGGCTTGCTTTCTTTTCTCCGATTAGGTTGAGCAGATAGGGACATGGCCCGGCAGCTCGAGCACCTGCAACGCCTTGACAACAAAGGCTTTCGTGAGTTTGGGGTTCAGGCTGTCCCTACCGGCAAGTGAAGAGGGGCGAGGGTTACGAGCATCAGAAGGACCGCGCAAGGGAACTGCGAGGCGCAATCAACGTTCAGGTTTCGCTCATGCAGCATGGCCTTGAACTTCAAGCACGCACAGGTTTTCCTAACATGAAGGCACCAAGACCGAGACGCACTGAGAAAAGGAGCAAGAAGAGAAGAAGAGAAGAAGAGAGCCGCAACAGAAGCACAGTCGAAGCACTGTCAGTTGAAAGTGCCGCTAAGGCTGGCTCTGACGACGACTCCGGTGGCTCGGATTAATCTTTCCCTTCTCCTGTCGCTTTCAAGCCCTCGTCATTGCTGTACTCGCGGATGCTGTTGCAGTTCTTCTGCCGTCATTCGATTCTCGTCATCGGTTTCGGTGTAGGTTTGCCTGTTCATAACTAGTGATAGTACCGCTGACGCGGATGTTGTTTTGTTGATTACTGTTTCTGTTGTCACGTCTGTGGTTGCTGGTTTTCAGTACCGCACCGCTATCTCACAGCGTGAGAGCAGTAGCCGCAGTCGTCGAGACAAGATTTGGCAATAGTTGTAGCCATGGCGAAACTGGAACGGCCGGAAACACGAGTGTAACATGCAATAATGGTACGTAAGAGCAAGGAAGACTGTCCGCGCCATGCTGGCTCGCAGCAGTGGCAAAGTACCAGTCACATTACCGTCACTTTCGTCGTGGTGCCAGAACGGGCATCTAGGTTTGATCTTACAATCGTCAGCCTGCTATGCACAAAGGAGTGGGATTTTTAGTCACAACTGACGATTATGATGTTGCGGATGCTGCCCGTGATAATGGTCGTGAAGATGCTATTCAGCCTCAGGATGTGTCATGATGCTATGGTGGCCACAGTGTTGCCATCATCGTCAGAGCTTGCATGCGAGCGAAAGCAAGAATGACCATGACAAGACTCAGAGTACCTCCACTACAACCAATACCAGACACCACCACTGCCACCACAACTAGCACCACTAGCATCACTACCACCAATACCACCTTTACCACCAGTACCACCGCTACCACCCCCACTACCACCACTACCACCGCGACCACGGCCGCCACCACCCTCGCAACCCACCAACCTGGCATCGTCGTGATGTCGTCGAGGTAGCATCCCTCTCCGAGGTCCTGTGGGCTCTTATGAGGCATCCAGATTCGCAGCAGCAGCAGCTTGGGCGCAAGCTTTGAAGAGCGTGGCAGAGGCCGGGGGCGGCTGATCCTGATGCTTCTCACTGCAGATTCTCAGATGGGGAGACATGAGGCGGCGCAGCGCAGCTACGAGATGGAAGGCATGACGCACCTAGCGCTTTGGCTTGTCCCTGCTGTTGCGCCTGTAGGTTTGGGTTTGCACTGTAGCCGTCTGCAGAAGCAGAAGCAGTCGTCTCCTTCCCCAGCAGTAGCAACAACAGCAGCAGCAGCAGCAGCAGGATTGGTAGTGGTTGTAGTGGCACTACTGCCAGTGGCTTGTGGCTATGGAGTTCTGCATGCAGACATCATACCGGCTGCTACCATCTCCCCTTCGGAAACTCACACTGCATCGTCGTGATTCACGGGACGGCTCTTGCAGCAGGAGTGCCACCTCGCGCCGTGAAGCTTCATCAGGTACGGAGACGATTTCTGGAGCATCCGGGCAGTCTTGACTGGTTCGGCTGCGTGTTGGGTTGTGAAGGCAGTCTCCTGGCTGATGCACGGCTTCCTTTGGCCTGTGCAGCCATTTCCCAGGATGCACTAGGGAGCAGTCGCCAGCATCTGCCGGCTGCTTTTCCGCTCTGGCAGGATTCTGTTGGCGCTTCGTCTGTTGCAGCCTCGCATTCTCCCAGGCTTGCCCCTCTGATTTCATCAAACGCCGAAGACGATTCGAGGCTGTCACTGCGGCTGCTGGCTGACTCCAGGAAGCAGACGGGCTTTGCTCTCGAGGACGAGGAGGGGGGGGAAAGGGCCCAGCAAGGCCCAGGCTGGCTGCCTCGTTGCAGGATCTGGAGAAGGGGGTGCAGGAGCTGGGAGGGCAAATGCCAACCAAGGCTGCATGGGGCTCAGTCTCGTCAAGGAGCGCCGGTAACTTCCGTCACAGCCAGGTGTTGGAAACTGCGACTTCTTCTCGGCTCCTCCAGCGACCCATAGGAGACTTCATGCGCGGGTCCCACCTCGAAGTCCAGAGCTTTCTGTGGCCGTGACAGAGTAAGGCCAGCCATCGGCAAGGGCTTCCTCCAGACTTTGTTGACCGCGCCCGTGGAGCTGAGAACTGCTCACCTCCGCTGGACGGAGTTGGGGAGGCCGCGCGAGGGCCGCGGCGCGATTTCTGCGAGGGGGTGGTGGTAAGGAGTCGTGTCGAGGCCGAAGCTGCGCTGGGACGGGCTTCGGCCGCTGCCGATCTCGGCCGCGGCCTCGACTTCGGATCTTCCATTTTTGTAATCGTTTGAACTTCTGAGGTGGAGGTGGCTCACCGCTTCCCGCAGGGGCTCCTCTTGGCTGACAGCTCGAAGGTGCTGCAGAAGGCTCGGGGCTGTGGCCTGGGCCGAGCTCGTGCAGTGCCAATGCATGTGGAGGTGCCCGCGTCCGGGAGCAGCAGTCCGAGGCTAGAAGAGGGGCCTCGGCCTCAGCTGAGTTGTCTGCACCGCAGTCGTCAGACTCGCCAGGACAGAGCGAGTAGAATGCCTCGCGCCCGGGGCGTGGTTTAGCCTCGGGTGCCGGCCCCGGATTCGACAAGCAAGTCAACGAATCCCGATATGTGTCCATTGTTGCGTATCCAGCTCTGCAAGGCTGCTGCTCGACGTGGACGAAGCCAGCCTAGGCTCCATCTCTCCCTCTCGCTCTCCCTCTCTTTCGCTCTCTGACCGATGTGATGCATGACCCATCGGTGTCGGTGCTGGGTTGCTAGATTGCAATGGTGTTTTCTTCGAAGCCGAGAGATTTTGGAGGGAGCCTTGAAACCCTAAACGGCCCTAAGCCCTCTCTGCGCGCTCGTCGGGTCTTGGCCCGGCGTGTCGCAGGTGCGACAGGCATCCCCAGCATGGCGAGCGGCTCCACTGGCGTCAATTCGCGGAGTGGTCTTCACAGGCCTTGCGCATTGCCGGTCGTGAGGTTGCAACCGCTCTCTCTGCGCTCTGCGATCTGTCCCAGGTACGTCAACCGGATCGCCGTGACCGATCCCATGGAGGTCAACCTCTTGGAGTCTACTCGTAGCTTCGGTGTTGGTTGAGCGGACAGTCCGGCGGGACGGCGGGATGCCTCATGCGACGGAGACTGTGTCTCGGGCCGAAAGCCAGGAGTCATGAAGGCACGAAAAAGCCACCAAGCGATCTGACGAAAAGCCATGCTGAACATGGAAGAGACTGGCTTGGCAGTGCTAGGCAAAATGCGCTTGCATGCATTCTCCTGTTCGTCCACAACCTCATCCAGCACAGCATCTTCCGCGGCGACATCCTGGAGCACCATGTCATCGAGTTCGATGTCCTCGACTCCAACTTCTGCGGAACCACATCCCGGCAGAACCAGCAGTAAATCCGCCTCCAGCAGTACCGCAGGTTCCAGCATGTCAACAACCTCATCGATCTGCTGTTCCATGACCCTGCCGTTGTTAGATGATACGAATGAGATTGCCGGAGATGTCGGTTGGGAGGGTTCCTTCCCGAGGATGCCTATATTGCACTGCTTCCGCCAGCAATGCAGCTTGTAGCGCTTCTAACAGCCTTTCGCCCACAATCACCCTGCATGATCCAGGCGAGGAAAACCTCTGACTCTGACGAAAGCGGCTGCCTGCATCAACCCGTGTGAATCTCTTTCGGTGAGCACTCCTGATGTCGGGTGCGACAGTTGGGCTCAAGCGGTGGGGCAGAAGAGGGAGTAGACTGCGGTGCACAAAACTAGGCTGATGGCGGGCCTGGGCATTCCAGCACTCAAGCAGCAGTTATGCTAAATTCTTTTAATGTCATGGCTAACTTTTGAGATTCTCTTATCTTGGTTGTTACCTCGTCATAGCTTCTATGGTCTATTGCGGTTCCGACTTCACTCGAGCAGTAGTGGTGGGTGTTTGTGCTACTGTTGGCATCGCTGTTCTAAGCTGTTGCTGCAGTGGCAGCATCCTGCTACTGCTACTTCCGCTGCTACGGCTGCTGCTGCTCTCCTGCTGCTGTTGCATTTCCAGGTGTTTTGTTTTGCATAGTCGTGTCTTGGGCAATATATGTAATTTGATCAGAAAGATAACAGAAGTCATGAGACCATCACATGGAGCCGACAATGTAGTACAGCAATGATCCTCACCATCAGCATCGCGATGAGTATCTTCGCTGTCGTCGTCAGCATCATCATTATCATCATCGTTGCAGGGTCGTTCCAAGCAGGGCTTGCAGATGCAAGAACTCACGATGATGACGGCGATGATCATGCTGGCGATGACGATGGTGGGCATGTACCTATATTCTATGTTCACTGATGCATGGAGATGGTCCTCATAATGGCTGTCTTCTCGATAGCCATGACATGCACATAGCACGTGTCGGGGCAGCCGAGTTCCTGAACGATGGAACAGCTGCGAAGGTCAAGCTCCTGCACGAGGGCATTGGCCACACGGTCACCTGTGAGCTCAAGACGGGTCGTGGCCTCAGAGGATTGCTGGAACTAGGTTACATGCAGAAATCGCCTTTCCCTCTCATCTGTAATGCCTGGACAGGCGAGATGTACCGCGGTCACTTGATGAACTGTGAGGTGCACACTTGCACCCTCATGGGCTCTTAGACATACACCTGCTGTGCCAGGACAACATGAACGCCATGTTGGAGGGTGTTACTGTGACAGGTCGCGATGGTAAGGTCATAGCCTCATAGCCTCGGCTCTCTGCCCTCCAGTCTCAGTCATTGTGCGTGCAAGTCTGAAGGTCACAAATCTGGAGCAGGTGTATCTACGGCCATGCTCTCAACGAATCACGCCATTGCTTGTCCAGTTCCTGGAGTGCACCAGGGGCTCGCAGATTCGATACTTCATCCTCCCGGAGTCTTACCTGCAAGAGAACTATTGCGGTGGATGCTTGTAAGCAGCATCACGAAGCTCACATTACGAGATCCACCTTTGCCCGTAGGACATGCTTCGTCACGCACCCATGTTCAAGAAGAAGGCCAAGAACACCAGCTTCGATTTGTAGAGTCTCGCTCGATTTTCCGCTGGGCGATCAGGGCCGTGGTGCTGGTCGTGGCGTCTATGGCCCGGGTGGCAAGGCCGGGCCTCAGGGTGGAGCTCTGCGCTTGAAAAACCGCTCCGGCTATGATTTTCTGGTCATTTGCGGTCTTTCGCTATCCCTGCCTGATCTCTACATGCTTCTGATGTCAGGGACGTGGCAAGGGCCTGGCTGCTCGCGCACGAACCGCCGCCGCGGCCACACGGAAGTAAACGGTGTGCGGAGAGGCCCGGACCACGGGTTTGGGGTTCAAGTTTAAGGTGTCGGCGCTGCATGGCTCAAGGGTTTGGGATTTACGGTGTAGGGATATGTGGGGAGTGCTTTTCTTGGATGCAGAAGGCCCAATCCTGCAGCCTACATCCCCTGCGAACTCATGCAGCCCCTTGGCATGGGTGGCGTAGCGGCGTAGAGCAGAAACATCACAGGTGCCATTGAGATGCTGTGTTTTGGTGATTTCGTGAGGAGAGTGATGCGACAGCTGCCTGCTGTGCAGCGCAAGAAGCTGTTGAATGTACTTGGTGCCAACGAAGTTTTGACGAACAAAACCTCAAATCGCTGACTGAGCGCAGTGCACATATGAGATGGATGTCAGTAGCACGAACTTATCGGTTTACCCAGCATAGCAGGCATGGCGAGTAGGGCAAGCCGGGCCGGATAAAGAATTTCGGAAAGCTTCGCAGCTACTGGCGATGTCCATCTGGGAGCCATCGGCCAACAGGGGCGAAGCGGAGCTATGCGATTCCCAGCTGCGAAAGCGCAAAGTTATCGCAAAGAGGAGTGAAGCTGCGGATCCTCGCATGTTGTAAGCGTCTGGCACTTTGCGCTCTTTTCTGTCGCGGCCATGTGACCATTCTAGTGTTTGGCACTGCATCCAGCTGCACTCAGTACACACTGCGGAACGGACATGCTGCCGACAAGAGAACCCGCAACAAAAGCAGCTGGCATGAACCTGAACCTATCGCAGTTTAAGTCGAACAGCAGCCGACCTAGGACCTGAGGCAAGCTAAAAAGTCCGAGAGTATTCGCAGATGCTGGGGGGAGCGCGAGCCCGCCATGGAGCGGGAAGGCGAGAACGAGACTTCCGCAGCCTCCCAGAAGGAGCACAAGGCTGAGGCCCAGGCGGCGGAGGCCTCCGCCTCCCAGAAACAGGAGGAAGGAGGGCAGCAAGGGCAGAAAGGGCAGCAGGACCGCTCAGAGGCAGAGGCGGAGCAGGCGGTGCTGCATCTGGCGCCCCACAAGGGGACCTGCGACGCACTGTACTTCTCAGCTGATAGGAGTCGACTTCTCACCGCGGGAGCTGATGGCCGACTGGCTTGTCTCGAGACGCAAAAGAAAGAGACCTCCATGAGCAGGAGTTGGGCGCAGAAGATCACACACAGCCTGAGGGTGACTGCAGCTGCTGTTTCCAGCGATGCACGAATGTTGGCAGTCGCAGAAGAGACGGCGTCTGGATTTCAGGCATGGGTCCATCTGCTAGACTCGAAGGGCCGCATCGTTCAAGGCCAGAAACCGCGAATTGCGGGCAGATTTACTTTGGACATCCGTCACTTGTCGTGGCACCCCAGCTTGCCGTACCTTTGCATTGCGACCGACGACGGCAAGGTTGACATCTGGCATGAGAGCAAAGGCCGCAAGCAACTCCTCAAGGGAGGAGGACCCGTCGCTTCGGGCGGTGTCCGCTGTGCCTGCTTGGACGACAAGGCCGAGAAGATCGCCGCGGCATTCGCTTCAGGAGACCTGGCTGTGGTGGACGTGGAGACCTCCAAAGAGCAGTTTCGTTCCAAGCTTTGGCCCAAGAGTGTGGGCGGCTCTGAGCGGCTTTCCATGTCATGGGCTCCCAACGGCCTCTCGGCCACAGATTGGTGCTGGCGTCTCTTCCTCTGTTCCTCCCTTCTCTGCCTCTGCCGAATGCCAGGCGGCTACCTTGCACTGCCGGGAGAGCAGCTGCTGGCCTGCATTCGGGCCCATGCACACGCCGTTCAACTGCTGCCGCACGCGGCATCGTTTTTTGAGGTCTGTCCGGCTCATGTCGAGAGACTGCAAGGAGACGGTGCAGCTGGAAGGTGCCGGAGACTGGGCCATGGGCCGGCTCCTTTTCATACCAAAAGTTTGAGAACAGGTGGCCACCGCTTCTCTACGACAATCGCGTCTTGGTCTGTGGCCCACCCCTGTCCTGCAGCACCGTGGTGGTGGCGTGATCAATGGCTGCAGTTTTCAGGTCTCCATCGGGGCATGTACTAGTGAGTGCATCTGCAGAGGCCCTTTCGACCACGTTCCGCCAAGTTAGCCTTGGTCTGAAGCCAAAATCTCCCGACAGGCGGTGGCAGTGTGGGCACATCAACGCCTGCATCGAATCATCCGCTTCGCCGTGGGCAGCCCGTTCCGTTGCTATGTGCCCGTGATTTTTTGCTGTCGTTCCGTGAATGATCACGACCCCATAGGTGGAGCCATCCAGCATTGCGTTTGTGCCTGAGACGGGTTTGCTTGCCACCCAATGAGCTTTGAAGCAATGTCGACTTGCGTGGACGTACGGAAATGCTCTTGTGCCGCCTGGGTGTAGGGCGCCGGATCGCTGAAGCCTTCCGCCTGGTTGGATCCTGCAGGTGGGGCGGCTGCGACTTCATCGCGGTGGGAACGCAGGTCCCTGCTCCGTCAGCGACACCCGTTCTTCAAGTGCCCTGCTGCTCAGGCGGGTCACTTCGCCCAGCTGCAGGCGGGACCTCGTGATGGTCGTTCAGTGGAATGGCTTTTGGGAGAACGAGGTGCTGGTTGAGGCTCCGGCAGACAAAGACCAAACAGCAGCCACCTCAGCCGCCGCCGTGGGCCTTAGCCTTGACCAACTGCTCCGTCCGCCCGAGCTGCGCCACCAAGGAGGTCCAGGTGCCGGTGGATGCCCAGGCAGCGTTCACGAGGGTTCACGGCTCACGAATGTGACGTCGAACTCGTCAGGCTGACGCCGGGGACTCTCAAGTTTCCCAAGATGTGCCGAGCGCCCCGAGCCTCCCCGGCGCGGGGGACACAAACGAGCAGGGAGAGGCACAGCAGGGCCAGCAGGGAGTAGAAAAGGCGCCGGAAGCCAAGGAAGCTCCGAAGCAGCAGAGGTTTCAGCCCGGGGCCACGCTCAAGGGGCGTCGGCGCTTCCTTGCTTGGAACGGTTGCGGCGCACTGAAGCTGATGCTCCCATCATCGCGGCCGGGCATACGACCCCAAGGGGCCCAAGTAGAGGTGGACTACCACAGCTGGAGAGACCCGACAAGTGTTCGCAGCTTCAAGATCGAGGAAAACGTGGAATTGGGCGCGATCGGTCCAAATCTGTTCGCGCTCGGGAGCAATGCGTGCGGCAACTCTACAATCGTAGTTCATGTGGCCAGTCCGTGGCAGCAGGCCTCCTTCCGGTGCACACTGGCACTCGACGAGCGTGCAGAAGCGTTGGCGATCAGCAGTAGTTTCGTAGCAATCGTCGTATCTCCACAGCGCTACTTGCGAATCTTCACGCCGAGCTTCGTTCCGATTGGGGTTCTTTCCTTGGCTGGTGACATCGTCTCGATGGTAGCTCACGGGGATTTGCTGCTCGTCGTTTTTCAACCAAAGCCGAAACGCGAGCCCAATCTTCGCTTCATGCTCCTGAATGTTGACAGAAAGGAGAAGATGGAGGCTGGGCAGTTGCCGCTCTCAGCACGTTCCACGTTGAAGTGGATTGGCTTCAGCGCCGAGGCGCAAGCCCTGAGCCTGGACTCCAAGGGGGTTCTGCGCATGCTGTGTCTGCGTGGCGCCGGGGAGAACTTCATCGGCGGCAGCTGGATCCCCGTGGCAGAGCTAGAGAAGCTGTGGCCGGTACAAGCCGAAGAGGGGGCCTTGAGCTGCGTGGAGAGTGAGCCGAAGCCGGGTCCGAGCTATCGCTTCAAGAAGGTTCCTTTCAAGCTTCCTTGCGATGGTCCCATGGAGACGTTCTTGCGGCAGAGCTTGATGGCAATGCATCGAGCCCAAGCCACGGCGTGTGGTCTCGTGCCTTCTATGGCGGTTAAACAGAAGAAGCGAGGCGCTGCAAGCCGGGACTCGACATCGGCACTGACTCTTCTCCGGATGTTCCTTCAGTCTAAGGAGGAAGAGCTGGCTATGGATGTGGTGGCAGAGTTTCTGTCCCGAGAGAGCTGCAAGGCCTCGGAGCTGCAGGAGGCCTCGGCCGCCGCATCGACAGCCAACCTTCCAAACCTGGCAGCCCAGCTCTCGCAGCTCGCGCAGCAGGCGCAAGCGAGCGGCCAACCCGCCTTCAAGGTCCGAAAGCTCTGAGCCGGCGCAGACAAAGGGGCTTGGCTCGTATGCTACGAGTGTACAGGAGTCGTCACGCGCTCTTTTGGGGAGGGGTGAGGCGCTGACTCCCGAGCCAAAAAGAGCTGTGAAAGAGCGCTCTCATCCAATAACATGCCTTCCGTTCCTGTTCAGCTCGTAGCCTCCCCGCATCCCAAAACCGGATTGGAACCCAGGCTTCCAAGTTGTGAGGCGGCACTCTCCTTATGTGGGGCGTGGGGCCCTCACAGAACCGTGTTCCAGCACGCAGGTTTATTCCCGGCTTGCTCTCTCAACCAGATTGTGTCGATTTGTGCTGTCCTAACTCGTCTTCTTATCATGTCACACGTGATGCAACGTGAGGTTAGAGGTGTCACAGCAATCGTTCCGTGCTTTGCACGGCCTCTGCTGCAGCAAACTCTGCAGGCAGCTCGAAGAAGTACGATGAGAGATATGCATCGGCTGTTCCTGGCCCATAATCCAGCCCTTCTTGTCGTTCCCAGCTGCGGCCGCCGCAGGGCGTTCGTCCGACATCGTCTCGCCCTGCACTCGCGTGGGGGGGTTCGATTCATATTTCTTGAGCAGTCCCTACAGAAAGCCCGGTGCCTTGATATGGCCATGGGGAACATTCCAGCTGAGATAATGCACTCGGAGCCTTTCGGTCATGGGCCCACCAAGCGAGAAAGCCACATAAGACCCCCCCCAAGTGCATGAGTTGTGGCGGTGGTAGGATGTCCTAAAGTCGTGTTGATTCATGCATTCATGCATTACGCCTGTGTGCGGTCTTTAGTACACATCCATTTGGCATTCCTGGCTTCTACCGGCCTTGTTCTTTGCACAGATCAGAGCGTTTCTCCGCAGCTGTTCTCAATGGCCGGCGAGTCTAGTAACTCACCCGATCGTCTAGCCCCAACCTTTAAATAACCTGGATCGGGTGACACAAGGCCGTACGCCGTAGCCATCGGAAGTTCATAGGGTCTACCCAACTTGGTCACAAGGCCACGCCAAAGGAACTCCAGAAGCCATGACCTTGGCACTTCCGGGCCAGGAACATGTGCCAAAATGGTACGGGTCTCGTCCGCTCCTGGTGCCCTTTCACGTCTACGGATGGCAACCTGAGGCTCTTGGACGACCTCAAGAAGCAGCCCAAAAGCACCACCAACACCACATGTGAACTGCGGATCATGGGAACTGACGAGGACTGGCTACGACCTGATCTTGGAGTCCATGCGCCCAGTTGTTGTGCAACTTGCAGGTCATGACGTGCCCCGTGAAGCAGAGTACCACGGCCCGCGACTTGATGGGTTGGTTGGAAAGGCAAAAAGACGTGGAGCTTCCTTGCTTTGCAGACTTGCAAATGCAGGTCCTGGAGATCAAGATGTTCTTGGCCATGAAGCCCGGAGCTCGGTCTTCGCCGAAACAGAAAGCTGATTCCGCCTTCTGGGCCTGGTCCGCGTTGGTCCGCAGTCCGCAGGCTGGGCATCGATCCTGGCGTCATGAGCGTGGTCACGAAGCAGGCGGATGCGGGATGACTTCCGGGCACAAGGGGCACTGTGGTTGCGGCCCGGGCCCGCGTGAAGCGATTTGGTTGCGGGTTCTTTTGGGTACTTTTGTGTGTGTGTGTGTGTGTGTTTTTTTTCCGGTTATTTTTTATGGTTTTCGGTTCGCTGGGTGCGCGAGCGAGTCAGTCAGTCAGTCAGTCAGTGGGTCAGCCAACAGTCAGTCAGTCAGTCAGGCAGTCAGCCATTCGGTCGTCCAGCGGAAGCGGTGAGCCAGTCAGCCAGTGCCAACCGAGCCGTCAATCAGTCTGTCTGTCTGTCAATCAGTCTGTCAGTCCGTGAGTCCTCTAGTCAGTCGGGCAGTTGATCTGGCGTTGCAGCTGCAAACCATGCACACCAGTGAGTATATGTGAGTATGGGGCACCGGAATCGCCAAATGAGGGGGCGTGATTGCGATATACAGGTATGATGAATCGGAAGCGCCAGAAGAGAAGGCGTGTTTAAGATATATGGTGAACCGGAATCGCCAAAAGAGGGGGCGTGTTTAAGATTTTTGATGAACCGATTTCGCCGAATGAAGGAGCGCATTTACGTGCTTTAGCGAACGTCGTACCATCAAGAACGCCATTTGGCCATTTGCGATTGGTCGTAGCAAGTCAAGCGCATAACTCTAATGAGACCAGCTTAGGAAAACCATAGAAAATACCCACGAAAGTAGGCCCCTCCTTGTGACTTTTACAGGTTCTCTATAAAAACTACACCAAAATAATCATAAACAATGCCTGCACCAATTTGGACGCAAGCGATTTCTTCGTGCAGGGCTGCTCCTGGCGTGTCCAAACCGACTCCGAGGACGCGAGCGACAGTCTGCGTGTTTTCGTGCAGTTGTATGTCGTACTCGCAGGAAGTAGCTCGGAAAGTGATGGTCAAGGGCATCAAGTCCTTCAAGCGCGAGAGACACAAATGGCCAAGCTCTCAAGCGCCGCGCTTTGCGTTCGGTCCCGGGGCCCGGGGCCCTCCCCAGCGCCAGGCCCAGCCCGATCGCTGTCATCGGCACCGGCCATGCGGGGCTGCGACAGGCGCCACGGGAGCTGCTGGAGTTCTGCTTCTGCTTCCATCGCTTCAGCCAGAAGAGGCGATGTTCTTCTTGAAGAACAAGGAGTACAACTTCATCGTCTACGACCGGAAGGCACGTCTCAAATCTGCAGAGAAAGTGGCCGAGCTTCGAAGTCAGCCGAGGCCCTGGTTGGAGGTACCTCCTGGATCGACCAGGCTCCAAAATCCACCCCTCTTCTACTAGCTTTAGGTTGTATGTCTTTGAATTTCCGGGTCAAGCTTTCCCGACGTGGGGGAGGCCAACACGACATCCAAGCTTCAAACGGAGCTCGGGACGTACCATCTCCAGTACGACGAGGCTGACACCCCCAAAGCGAGGCAAGCAGCTGAGCAGCTGAGCAACGAGGGAGCCGCGGCGTGAGGACAATCCTGTTCCGAAGAACATGAGCACCTGGCCATCGACGGCTGAGCTCTTGCAGCTTGGTCAAAATTCCATGCAGCAAGGATCTGTCAGTCACAGCTTCCACTCTGGTCCATTTTGTGATCCGGCGGAGACTTCACAGCTTAGGCAGCACTTCCGGGAAGTGTCCGAGGAGTATGGAATCATGCCGTCGGGGCCTCAAGGGAGTCAGGGGAGAGCTCATAGACGACATCATCACGCGAAAGGGGCCCCAAATTGGCCAGGGCCTGCCCGGCCGGCATGGCAAGGTATTGCAAGATGTGCACCAACATCAAGGAGATAAAGATCAAGACCGGCACGAAGCAGGAGGTGCAGGCGGAATCCCGGCTCAAAGTCGACTTCAGGACAGGATGGGGTCGCCAAGGGCGATTTTGGTCTTGAGGATAGGTGCTTAATGCTGTTAGTTAGGTGAGTACGGTAGAATCGTTCAGCGGCAGTAGTACGTATGTCTTGGCTGAGTTCTGACTGCACCCCAAACCTCGTTGCGAAGCCAAGGAGATGGCGCAGAGGGGCTGGTGACCCGGCGGAGTTGTCCAGGGTCAGCATGAAAGCCTTCCTTGGGGCTTCGAGGTTCATAGGCTAACTTTCTTTTGGGCAGAAATCTGGCGCTTCAGGGCTCGGTAGCAGACAATAACATGAGCATCACGAATGTGCTACCGACGGCCAGTCGCCAGGGCGACGCAAACCTACACTCTCACGCTGGAGCCGACCGATGGTTCAGGCCGGGGTCAGGGCGATTGGCTGGGATGCATGACTTGGATCCAGAGCCGGGACGTCTTCTTCTGTTACAACACTGTTATTGTCGAAGTCGTCGCCGCCGGCGTCGTGGTCGTGCGCTTTCAGAGATGCCAGCCAGGCGATGGCCGGGGTGACAACATTGGCGCCACAGGCGCCCCTTGCGAGGATGCCACATACCCAGTTAGCTGTGTCCTGACGATCAGCGCCGATTCTGCACCCCCTGCTGAGGTGGATCACAGCGCAGTGATCATGTATCCTGGGAACCTCACAATCCCAAAGCGGTGTGAGCTTCCCGGGGAGGCCTGGATCGCCTTGCTCTGTTGCAGACTTCCCTTACAGACCAAAACAGGACACTTTCGAGGGTGAGATCTCCTATGCCATCATGAATGACTTTGCTGCTCGGTCCGACTTTGAGAGGCGTCATCCCGTAGCATCAGCCACCATCACGCATCGTCGCCTTCGCTTTGATCGCACGTCATGCTGGAGTTACATCGTTGTCTTGTAGCTGGACATCCATACGGTCACCGCCCAGGACTATGGCAAGGTGGCGGGCAAGCAGGTGGTGTGGCGCTTGGTGAAGATTCAGCTGGATTCAGTCCAGTGGAATCCGGATAGACAGGGCAATGGCATTGCAAGATTGCTTGTCCCAACTTCGTATTGCATCGTATTGCAGAGTGGGCAGGTGCCCTCTAGCTTGAGCCTTAAGGGTTGTGCAACGTGGTGTCGTGACTGCCGGTCGGAAATTCATGCACAAGGTATCTGATTGAGGTCCGCAGTTATTGCAACAGCCTTGGCGAAGCAAGTGCTCTGAGTGCTATCCGCCCCAAACGAACTTCGATGAGGGTCGATTCTCTTGTTTGGCGCCATCGGAATGGCTTGCCGTGCCTTCACGTAGGAGAATGAGGAGAGACTGTGGCGTACAATAATCATCAACCTGCTCCAAGAGTGCACAGCCGATTCTTACGGCGTCTTCCTTCCCGTCGACGAGTTTAGAAGGAAGCATGCGTGTTCAACAAGCTTTTCCTGCGCGCGACAGATGCTGTTCAGATGGGAGTGGAGCAAAGTTTCCGTGCGCACGAGACCTTTCAGGCCCACCTCCTTGCATGCATCAGGCCATTCTGGGCCATGGTGCTTTCGCCGTCGAGAACCTCCGGACGTGCCTGGAGTTTTCCTGTCGCCAGGCACGGTGCACGAGTACCACTCCTAGCCACCGGAAAGACTGAACTGCAACACTGACGTTGTCGTCACATTCTTTGTAGCCTCTGGCCCTGTTCAGGCCTACATGGTTTGCCGGAGGAAGAACCTGGCATGCCCTCGAGCGTCTCGTCTCACAATGCCCGTGTTGTCGTGTCTGCAAACTCCAAACCATATTCAGATGACTCCTCCATCGAAACTCATTAGAACGGCTGTCATGGCCGCAACAATAAGTCATAAGTCGTAAGGTCGTGTCGTGGTTTGCCAGAGCCTCAATTGCAGCTGACCAATGCTGTGTCTACAAGATCATCAAAAGCTGGAAATGCCGGAAGCACCCTTGCTGAGATCAACCAGTCGGTGAATCCAATCAGTGGCAGAGCCCCCAGGGTTGCACAGGACCCTGGAAGAGCCTCGATGTTCTCCTTCTTTCCTAGGTCCTTTGACGATGAAGTCCTTCTTGCCGATGTACAACCTTCTCGGCTTCGACCCATGGGTGCCTCCATTTGCTCTAGACATCGGTGGCAGTTGCCATGGGTCCGTGAGCCCATGTTGCTGCTGGGCATGATGCGACCACACACGTACACCTCCGCGAGCCACTTTTAACGGTTCAGGTGGGTTCCGGACCCACTTTGTGCGTTCTGCAAAAGACGGATGCAGTGCGGTAGTTGCAGAGTCATTCACGCCACAGACTATATCATGCACCTGTCAGCACCATGGCATGTCAGGCCCTAGTCGTAGCTTCTGAAAGCCGATGCCCAGTGATGGCTGAAACTTGTGTGAGCCATGGTCGCGCTGATTCCGTCCGATGTGCTGGCCAGGTGCCGGAAATAAGATGTGAGACAATGGCTTCGCAGTCTTCCCGAGCTTCCAGGCCGCCGTCGAGGGAAGACGGCATCAGCGAAGGGGAGGAGGATCGCCGTGCCCCTTCAAACTGCCACTGCAGTGTGGGCCGCAGCTTCGAGGATCAGCTCCGGAGATTCGGAGGGAGCTTGATCCAAAGAGTCCCGAGCTGATGTGAAAAGCCATCTGTTTGGGCGCATGCAGTGCTGGCGGCTTAAGCTTCCGTCGCAGAGCTGGAGGCTGGGAAGCTCCTGAAGCTTCCGCAGCTCACGGTGGTGAGTGCTGCAGCCATGTGGCGGCCTCGGTCTTTGAGGAGATTTGAGTGCTCTCCGCCCCAGCGTCCTGCGATGCGTGCAATCTCATCGTGAGGTTCCAGCGTTTCTATTTTTGCAAGTCCTTTGCAGAGTATGATGTTCCGATCTCGGAGAAAAGTGGAGAGGGTCCCATTGTTGGGTCCTGCTGGAGATCAGTTCAGGTTCGCTCCCTGGCCGCTTCTGCGCTCGTGCTGGCCAGCAAGCCACCTTGCGGCGTTTGGGGAGAAACATTCACCGCGTGCTGTGGGGGGGTCTTTCCAGTAGAAGCGGCGAGCTGTCTTGCTGACAGGTTAGAGGAACATCCTCGCAAACTTGTGGAGGCCCCGCCTCTGCGGCTATCCACGCGGGGGCATGTCAAATATAGGATTCCCGGCCTGGCCCGTTGCAGGTGATCCAGGTTTGCTATCGGCTGAAGATGCGGGATCTCAAGGTGAGGCTTGCTCGCACAGCACCTGCAGGGCGCAGCGCTGCACCTATGCAGGAGGAGGATGGCACGTCTGCCTACGAGGGCAAGCCGCCGCCTGGCCGCATTGGTTGATGGGTGCAGTCACTGAATTCTTTGAGTATCGAGTTGGCCAGGACACCGCAGCTTGATCCGAGCAAGCGTGAGTCGGAGCCCACGGGGAAAGAAAGGCAAAGTCCCTCTTTTCCCAAGCCCTCATCGACGTCCGAGGTTCCACGACGAGAAGAAAGAGGTGGTTCTCGGAGAGCGCAGAATCCTGCGCGAACTCGGCTTCGAGGCGGGGAAGGGTGGGGTAGCTGGCAGCAAGGATTGACGAGGACTTGTGCGAAATGCTGGAGGTGGCACTGCTGTTGGACCATCCCCACAGGTGCACTCACAGAAGGGTTCAGTTGGGGTGAAGTTTGCATCGCTCTTGCAGGTATGCCATCGAATTCATCGAGCACCTTAACCGGCCTGAAGATCTGGCCCAGAAGGCAGCCGTTACAAGTATCATCAGCGTCGACTACTCGTATGCAAAACGCTCGCGTTCGCTTGTTCGCTTGTGAGACCTTGCGGAAGTCAGGTGTGGAATTTCTTGAACGATTCGATTCAGACCAGCCTCTGTTGCTCGCGAGAGACTTACCCGTGCTCCGAAAGGCCCTGAAGAAGATCCCCCTCAAAATGTTTCACCGTTTATCACATCTCTTCGAGGCACCAGCCCCAGAACATTGCCGGGGCTTGCCTCCTCCTGGCAGCGCGGGAGCTGAATTTGACGTTGCCGCAGGGAGCCCCGGTTTACAGCGGTGCTCACAACTGCGAGCTACATGAAACTGTATGAAACGCCGTTACTTAGCGCTGTCCTGTGTGACTGTATGAAACTCATCTGGGGTGGAGTTTAACAGTTTACGTACTTCCGCATCATGACACGGCCATTGGCAGAAGGGGTGGCATGGGATGATCGGGTTGAAGATCCTCAGTGTTCTCCTTCATGAGATACGTCTTTTGTTCCATCCCCTCCGCAATTGCATAAGGTCGAAGCCTCCGTGGCCATGCCCTCGGGTACCATGCACAAGGATTGCAACGTCGCCTGTCAAAAGTAGGTGGAAGCAGTTCAGCGTTGACACGAAGGTGCGGCCGTCCGTAGTAGTGCTTGCAGTGCTTGCTGCTTGCAGTCCAAGCGCTGCCTCCCAAGCCGAGGACGCAGAGCAGATCGCCGAGGAGCTTGTCAGGCTCTACGAGATGGGGCCGCCGGAGTTCATCGACGTTTGCAGGCTCACCGTAGTGCATGCGGCGTCATGTGACGTGTGCCGCTGCCACTGGCGGGTGCAGGCCAAAGAAAGAGGTCGCACCGCCTGCTACGCCATGGACGTCACCACCGCCCATGCTCCTTAAATCGCCGTCCGACGAGCTGCTGGAGGACCCGCAGCAAGAGGTCCAGGAGGACGCGGACCCCGAGCGGCAGGCCAGGACAGGGGGGGTTTGGACTCTGCCAGAGCGCTTTGGGCAGCAGGCTCAGGAGAGCATCCCGGAGCCTGGCATTGCCGAAGTGCTGGCAGAAGGCGGGCGCGCCGCTGAGTTTCGATGGCAGCTGGCAGAACCGCAAAGCTGAGGAGCGGCCATCCTGGCAGAGATACAGCCCAAAGCAGGCCGTGCCTTAAAGAGAAGCGCACCTGCATCTGCTCCAAGCTAACGGAAGGCTTTGACAAGCCGGAAGACAAGCCGCAAGGCTTCGACAAGCCGGAAGCTGACAAGAAATCCAAGAGCAATGGGAAGAAGGACAGAAGAGAGTTTGGGCAACATGGTGTGACATGGTGTGTCTGTGAATGGCGATGCTCTTTCACCGCGCAGTTTGCAAGCACCTTCAGGCCCGTGCTCTTTTGGATGCACCGAGCGAGATACTCGATAAGACGTGCGTTGCACACCAAGAGTCCTGGACTCCTAGACCGTGAACGGTGTCATAGGAGCGTGCCAAAGAGCGGGATCGTGAGGCTGGGGCCAAGGACTCGGACGGATGCTTAGCTCGAAGTCCGAAGGATGGTTTTCAGACCCGAGTCACTGCTTTGCAGGAACGGCGCCGTGCGCGAAAGCGTGACAGCAGCGGGGTTCCCAGACCTGCCCTATCTCGACAGTGGATGGCCTGAGTTCTGTTGCTCAAATAACCTTTTAGCGATTTCCACGCACTGGGGCACTGCATGCGACGTTGACGGGATGTGAACTCGATTGGCAAGCGCGAGCCTCTGCGAGTTATCGCTGTGTTCCTTCCACGACGAATGTTCGAACTTCACGGAGCTGGCAGCATGCGTGTGTAGTCAGAACTCTCGAAGCAATGCTGCCTTAGCGTGTTGGGAGCTGGCTTTGTGTGTTCTTTGGCTCTGGCTTCAAAACCGCATTGCTTGTGATGTCTCCTGAGGTTGCTGAAACAGCACTGCAGGATTTCTGGTTTTACCCTGTTGTCTGAGCTTTCTCGGTGGGCAAAGGACGTTGCAAGCAAGGAACAGCTCTTGAAGCTTTGTTGAAAAGCCAGTGCTAAACGACCTTGGTTCGCCCGCCGAAAAACGTTGAATCAAAGCAATCCGAAAGCTCTTGAAATTCGCTTCAGTACCATATATCGCCAGCAGTCGGGTGGCATGCATGAGTCGATCCGCATATCCCAGCTTGCTCTGTGACCTCTCAGTGGCTAGGCAGCTCCCGCAGCCGCAGCCGCAGCCCGAAGAAGCTCGAAAGGAAAGGCTCCGAGGCAACAAGGGCTGCTCATGGACCGTATTGCGAGGATTCGGTAAATTCACGATGGGTAAAGATGGCCAAGATGGCTAGCGTCTGGTTGGCTGTCCGATCTTTTGTGTGTCGTGTGTCGGAGGTGTCACAACTTTGGCGGGCTCAAGGGTTGAAAAAAAAACCATCGAAGGCCAGCAACCGGAAAGTAATCGAAACCCCTCCAATCTCACAATGCTCAGCAGAATTGGCCGATGTGTTCGTAGAAGGGATGGTGTGAAAAAAGGTCGGGACTGAGGAGTAACAAGAGAGCGGTCAGGTGGGGCGGAAGGGTCGCCGAGACCGCCGGAAGTGTCAGCCCCTGAGGCTCTGGCAGCGCTTCTGAGAAATTCTTCGCAATCTTTCGCTGTTTTTGGACCATCGGCCGAAGCTTCCGCAGCAACTCGTCGCCAGCTCTGAGGTCAAGTTGCAACCGAAAGCGAAAGCGAGTCGCCGTGAGACGCAGCGATGTGAACGCCTGTCGCGCCGCCTGGGGGAACACTGGCGATCCCGCTAGCTTGCTTCAAGCTGCAATGTTTTGCGTGCTCTGGCTTCTGCTGGGCAGGCTTACCATTCGGTGCATGCGAACGAGAAGAGAACCAACGCACGGGCGCCCACTGCAAAGGTTTGGACAGGTCCTCAAAAAGACGGCATCACCTCGCTGAGGTGACAATCAACCAGAAGTCCCGCTTCGGAATTGGACAGCCGCCTGTTGCACTGCCGTGGTGCAGAGTGGGCAGTATTTGTCGACGTGAGGAGATGTGTACTTCGTGGCGAATGCCATGGGCATCTGCGAAGTGGTTGAGGACGAGGCAATACCAAGCCGTGATCCCAAAGGCTGTTTCGGTGCTTGCAAGTTCCGCTTGCAGATCAAGCGCGTCGGCCCCCAGCACGTGCATTTGCAAAGCGGTCGAAAACTGGAGGCTGCACATATTCGCATCAACAAAATGACATGTTTAGCTGCACGCGGCATACTGATGAATGCCATTCAGGCACAAGTCATCCTCAAGCTGTACGGCTTCAATGGAAACTTCGATGTAGATCGTCTGATGACGCTCGCCTAAGGTTGCATTTGATGTGCGATTGACTGCGTGTGCGGTTGAAAGGGCTCTACATGTGAGCAACATGTTCCTTCCCTTTGCTTTGCAATCTTGCATCATGTCGGTGCCTTGCTGCTTCATGCGGTGTGAAGGAACGTGAAGCACATGATGGGGTTCTGGCCGGACGAGGAATGGGTGAAGAATTGCAGGGATTGTGAATCTAGAATCCTCATGAAGATTCCATGAAACCTTGTATATAACTTGTAAGTGCTGCTCAGTCCTTCACAGGATTTCCGACGCTACCTGATCGCCGAGCCCATCGGCGTGCTGAGCTTGGATCGGAACTTGCCGAGTGTCGGATCAAGGTTTACGGCCTGGGTTGTTTGTCCCGGTCGGACACGAGGTCAACGCAACTAACTTTGGAGGCACCAGCTTTTCGCCCGGAGTGCGGGTGTGGGCCGGGGCCCCTTCGCACAATCAGTGACATGAGGGATTCTGCGGCACAGACTCTTCGTTTTGCAAGGTTGACTTCAGCGCCTACTTCTTATGGTGAACCCACCAATCAAGCCGTGGAATTACGCGCAGCTGTGTGCTGTCTCGAAACATGGAAGAGGTATCCGAAGGACTTCGCCAACGTTCGGGATTCCGGTCCGTCTGTCAGCAAGCAATTCAAAGAGCTGCTGCTTCTGCTATGGCTGCTACTGTTGCTGCTGCTGCTTCGACTACTACTACTACTACTACTACTACTACTGCTACTATTACTCTTACTCTTACTCCTACTCCTACTCCCACTCCTACTCTTACTCCTACTCCTACTCCCACTCCTACTCCTACTCCTACTCCTACTCCTACTCCTACTCCTACTCCTACTCCTGCTCCTGCTACTACTGCTACTACTGCTACTACTGCTACTACTGCTCCTACTCCTAGTCCTACTGCTACTACTGCTACTACTGCTACTACTGCTACTACTGCTACTACTGCTACTACTGCTACTACTACTACTACTACTGCTACTACTGCTACTACTGCTACTACTGCTACTACTGCTACTACTGCTACTACTGCTACTACTACTACTGCTACTACTGCTACTACTGCTACTACAGCTACTACTGCTACTACTGCTACTACTGCTACTACTGCTACTACTGTTACTACTGCTACTACTGCTACTGCTCCTTCTCCCGCTACTGCCACTGCCACCGCCACTGCCGCTGCCGCTGCCACTGCCACTGCGACTGCGACTGCGACTGCGACTGCGACTGCTACTGCTACTGCTACTGCTACTGCTGCTGCTAGTACTACTACTAGTAACTAGTACTACTACTGCTCCTCCTGCTTCTCCTGCTCCTCCTCTCCTGCGCTACTTCTACTTCTACTGCTCCTGCTGCTCCTGCTGCTCCTGCTCCTGCTGCTCCTGCTGCTCCTGCTGCTCCTGCTGCTCCTGCTGCTCCTGCTGCTGCTCCTGCTACTGCTCCTGCTACTGCTCCTGCACTAGGACTACGAACGGCGACTGCGACTCCGGCTTCGACCGCTAGTGCGATTGCGAGTTGCTGCTGCCGTGGCTCGCGACTCACGACTGCAACTAAACACAACCACCACCACCTCTACTACCGCCACCTCTACGTCGACGACGACGGGCTTGTCCCCACCACAGGCTGCTCACAAAGATTATTCCCCAGCCTGCAACAAGAACCAGGTCTGATGCCCTCGCATGCAGCAGAGCCCGAGTATGACAGACCCGCTTATGTCCGCCACCCAGAGTCTGCAGAGAGGTTTTCGGACTATGATTGGTCAAGGTCATCACATCCTTCGCGTTTGTCATTGGCTTGTGTCTTCCTGCTTGCACTTCTATCTAGACTCGTGTTTTCAGTGTTGTTGATTTTCGTTTTCTGCGTGTGTAGTCCCTCTCCGAACAGGGACTGGGGTGGCTGTCCGCGGACCGGATTTCGATAAAGGGCAGGCCATTGCTTGGCGGAGACCTTCATGGCAGAGTGGTGCTCTGCAAGTTTTCGATTGCATGGCGCAGTAAGATGTGACCCAGTCAGACACATGCCAAGGTGATCGATGCCCGTCATGGTACACAGACTATCATGGGGATCAGCTGGGATCTCGGGCTGCCTGGAGCTAAAAGCAACGGGGGATCCCAGCGAATTTCGCCTAGGTGGCACGACGCCGGCCATCGCAGAGTCCCATGCAGCCTAGCCCTTGGCGGCCGATCAGTTTTTGGCTGCCAGAACAACTGATTCGGAAGAGTTCAGGGCCTCGGCCTGGTAAAGCGGCAGAAGCAGCTGGAATGCCACCCGACACGCAAGTGCCCCTCCCTCCCACTCGTCGATTGTGCATTCAGGGCGGCTGCACGATCTCGAAGCCTCTGAGTGCGGAGTCATGGGCAGGTATCTGGATGAGTGCCGACTGGAGTGGGAGGAGTATGGGCAGAAGCTGAAGGCTGGCCCTCTCCCGTGAGTCTGGACGCCACGCATGATGTATATAGTATTTAATCTGCAGTATGTAACACATATATATATATATATATATACATATATATATATATATATATATATATATTTGTACACATATAAACATGTTACATGCTATACACTATATACTACATATGACATGTAAAGTGTAATTTGTTAGACATAGCATATGAGACATAATGTGATACCTAACAACAAATTACACAATACGCGATACACAATACATATATATATATATATATATATATATATTACAGTCTATGATATATTATATATATTGTGTACCATATGCTATATTTAACATACATTTTATAATTTGTTGTTTGTGGTGAGGAATATGTACTATACAGTCAAGAGATGTTAAAAGTATATGGTATATATGTATATGTATACATATATATATATATATATAGCATACAGTATACAATACAAAATATGTAATATATAATATGTCATACGCATATAGCATACAGTATACAATACAAAATATGTAATATGTAATATGTAACTTTCAACAAACACTTTCGAAAATGATAGATGTACATATACACATTATCGAATATAGATTTGCTAAATATATATATTTTGCTTTGCGGGCTTTCAGAGGTTGGTACGCAGCCTAATTACTTGCATCGTCGGCCCTCATACCCCTAAAGGGGAGGGAGAGGCGATGCTCCCAAAAGGCGTCTGGTGCAGCCAGCCGGACTTTCCGGCCCTGTACTGCCGCATCCCACGCTTCACGGAGTGCCTCTGGTAGCAGCGGCCAATACATCTCGCCCACGGTTGCTAAGGTGAGCGCCTCCCTGTCACAGGTTAAAGCAACGTCCCAACTGTGCAGTGTGTACAAGGCGCCTTCCTGGGTCTCGTAGGCAGGCTTGGCCTGACAAAGGGCGTCAGCCCAATCGAAGGTACTCAGCCTCTGGCTGAAGGCTTGCAGAGAATCCGTATGAATTTCCGTCCTAGCCTCAAGCTCAGAAGGCTGAGTGGCGATAACGTAGTGCTCCGTCGAGTGGCAGAGCGCTGCATAGACCTCATCGCTCCAGTGATCATCTGCTTCTGCTTTCCGCAGCTGTCGAACCTCAGCACCAACATGGGCGACAATCTCGTGCTCCTCACTCTCAAAGAGAGGATGCCGTCCCAAGATCTTTGCAATGAGGTCGACCAGCATAGCGGAGTCGGCTGGCAGATCATCAACCAGGAGGGCTTCGCAGACCTCTTTGTAGGCTCGCCGCGTGGTGACATCCCATCCAGCGTCGGCCGCAGCTGGTAGCGGGGCCCCATGGGGTCCGGACACCGCTAGGCAGGTCCGCCACACCTTGCTACCTCGTCCAGGCAAGGCCTTGTCCCTTGCACGCCCATGTAGTCGAAGTGTGGCAACGCACCCTGGGTGATCCCGTAGATGGTCCGCGAGCTTGGGGACCGACCAATATTGGCGGCCACAAGCATGGCAGACAGTCCCATCCACGAAGGGTCTGTGCTTCGCAAGCCGCCCGTGTACTTTGTGGAAATGTGCTCCGAGGGCGGCCTTGGTCTTGACCCGCCGGCCACATGGCCGGCAACACCAGGTCCCAACAGGTCGCCATCGAGGGTGGGCTTGTAGAAGTCGGCGGTACAGGGCCCACAGTTGTAGATCGATCATCCGCTCCACACAGAAGGCCTTGAAATCACGGTTGAGGAGTTTCCGCACTTGTGTCTTGATCCATGTAGTACGGTGGGTGAGGAGGCGGTGCATGGCTGGCCATCCGGCTGCATCCGCAGTGGGGCAGTCACTCTCGTCCTCACACAGCCATCGGAGGTCGTCGCGAACTGTAGCAAACCACGCCTGCTCCGTCTGTAGCATCGCCCAGAGCTCGTCTGGTGCTGCCTTGCAGGCAGATGCCAGGAGGCTCAGCCTGGACCTGCGGGCAAACATCTCAAGTGGGAAGCAGTTGGTCAGGATATGCACTGCCGGCGCCGCGACATTGTAGAGGAGGTCGCCCTTGAACTGCTTTGTGAGAAGTCCCCGCAGGACCCGGGTAAAACCACCTGCTAGGTGCAGCCATGCAGCACCTACAGGGACCCAGAGGCCAAGGTTGAAGAGGGTGGCAACAACCGAAGTCTGGAACAGGGCAGACCTGGTCAACAGAGGAATAGAGGCATTCCCGTACAGTAGTCGTTTGCCCTCGTCGAAGGTGGACTGCATGATGGCGAGCCTTCTGCGAGCCTCGCCTTTCCCAGACATGGCCATGTCAACAGTGCCACCCAAGTGGTTGTAGGCCCCGACCACGGGCACCTCCAGACCCAAATCATGTAGGACAAGAACGTTTCGCCCATTGGGGAACCATTGTTGACGGACTTTTCTGGAGCCACGTCCACGAATGGCCAATAGGATAGCCGTTTTGCCCGGTTTCAAGTTCGGCTGTAGACCGTGCCGAGCGCACTCATGAAGCACAACGGAGCAAAGTCTGGTCGCCTTCGTGAGGAGCGAGGAGGGCGACACGTCACTGATGGGAAAAGCAGCATCGTCAGCCCAAGCACATTCGAGTGCGTGGACTTCGGCACCGTCGCCCCGCTGGGCATATGGCCCGCTGTCAGGGTCGACGTACAAAGCTTGTAGGAGCCCCTCGCCAATGGCAACCTCTCTGATCCTACAGAGGATCTTTCCCAGGACAAAGGCGAAGACGAGGTCAGCCCACGCCTCGCCTGGGCGCGAGCCAGCCTGTGTCACGCACAGGCGGTCCGAATTCCCGTAGCCCGTGACGAACCAAGACCTATGTAAGAGGTCTTTGGCCATGTGGCGCAGGGCACAAGGCATGTTCGACTGCCCCATGATGCCGCCACCATGTACATCGCCCCAGAACTCTGCAAGATCATTGGGGGCAAGACCAAAGTACTTGAAGACTTTGGCGACGGTCTCCTCGTTCTCAATCAGGCCAACCGACATTTCGCGTATGACGGTATAGTACGCTGACTGGACATCCAGGAACAACACAGCGGTAGAGATGTTGTCCTGGTGTCCACGGCGCAGCTGGGCCTGAATGTAGAGCGCCGGTAGGGTCACCGGTGCGTGTCGTCGAGCCCCCGTCTGGAAACCCAGCAGCATGTCCGCCGCATGTTGCGTCGCTCGTTGGCGCAGCACTTTATGAAACGTCTTCCCCAGCATGGAAGACACAAATAAGGACCGGTAGTTCTCGGGGTCCTGTACCGTCCCCTTCCTCTTCCATGATTCTCGCAAGAGTCCTCCTCGCCACTGCACCGGCTGGTAGAGCGAGAGGGAGGCCTTCAAGAAGAGGGGGTATGCTATCCGTGTCATCCCCGCAGGGTCGGCCCTCAGTAATTCGCCTGGCAGGCAATCCAGCCCACTTGATTTCCGAGTGGGTACACGCCGGAAAGCCTGCTCCACCTCAAAGTAGGATGGCACGTCCTCGAGTCGCCAGTTGATCGCGGCATCAATGGCAATCGGTTCGCCAGGACGTCGGAGATATTCAGCAGTGGGGACAATGCTGCCGAACTCTTGCTGACTGAACTGCTGGAGCCATGTCTCATCACGGTCGGCCCTGGAGCTGGAGAGGGTCCCGTCTGGGGTGAGCAAAGCAGGGAGTGGCCGGTGCATCGGTCTGGCTTGGCGGCCTCCAATGCCTGCACGTTTGGCCACACCCAGGATTTCAGTGGCTTTAGCATGGCCACCTTGGGCAATGCGGTCCAGGAAGGCATTCTTGTCAGCCCGGATGGCAAGTTTGATGCGTCCCGTAGCGAACTGAATAGCCGACGCCGCCAGCTCATATATCAAGCCATGTTTTTGGACAACGGCAGGCACCGAGTAATCCTCGCGTCTGCTCCATTGCCGGAAGGCACGACTGAGTAGGTCCGCCCATAGCCCAGCCCTGTGCCGCGAACGGCGCTTCAGTGCCAGTTTGGCCGTTCGGACCGTCCATACATCAGCAGACAGGAAGGAAGCCCTGGGTCCAGCCTCGTCTTTGCCGAAGTGTGTTTGCAGGACACCGAGAAGATAGTCTTGCAAGGCCTGGCAGTGCATGTCAGGATGGCACTGCCAAGAGGGGGACTCAAAGGCGCTGAGCGCCTCAGCAATGGTTGCTCGGCCCTCTGGCGTCAGCATGCGCTCTGTGTCATGACTGTCAAAGGTGGGCCTCCAAATCCGGTCCCCACCAGTGTGTTTCTCGAGTGCGCCATGCAGTTCCAGTACGGCAGGAGTGTGGTCGTCAGTAGAATTGAGCGTGTCAAAATCCTCCGCGACGCTGCTTTTAGCAGCCCATACCATAGCTGTCCCGCCGACGAGAGCGTAGTCAATCCTGTGGGCAGAGCCCTGTAGGTGTCGAAAGGTAGCCGACGACCCGACGTGTAGTCGTTGGTAGGTTGAGGGAATCCACAGCCCAATCTCCTTGGCGAGGTGGAGGAACTTGCGTCCATTTGGGTCATCAGTCCCAAAGGGCAGGTCCCCCGTGTGTCCCTCGCATCCAACCGGCACCCTTCCGTTTAAATCGATTCCCCCAATGATCAAAGAGGAGCGGCGGTATGGTTTGAGAATCTTCTCGAGCGCGTCGAGAAAATCATCCGCAGCATTGCCTTTGGAACGGTCGGGGCAGTGTGCAGAAAAGAGAACAACCCTGGCAGCGCCAACGGCCACCGTCATGACAAGCATTCGCGGCTGCTCGACCACAATGTGCACATCTGCCTCCCTGGCTGTGAGAGGTCGGCCTCCACACGAAATGAAGCCCTGCAGCTTGTTCAACCAAATGGAGACCCCCCAGTGGCCATCAGAGGCACTGGAGAACCTCATGAAGGCTTTGCTTTCTGTGAGGCCAGCAGCGCCCCGGGAAAGCAAGCCACCTGCACTGCGAGGGTAAGCAATTGTTCCTCGTAGTACTTGTGTCGGCCGGCCAGTGTCTGCGCGTTCAGTGTGAGGCATTTGCACGCAAAGGAAGTAGGTTGTTCCGCTCGTGCTCCCGGCACCTCGCCGACGACTGGGATCAGTTGGCTCGGGGCAAG